ACCACTTCACTCCCTATCCTTAGTTCAGGTGTTGACGCAGACCAGTCCTGAAGCAGCTTGCATTTAGAGTGATAGAAGCGCATCAGTAGAAGAGGCATGTACTCATTTCAGGCAGTTATACAATCGGGTAACTCAACCATATATACCCTGGACAGTTCAAAAGCGCGGTCATCTGTGGATAGGCCAGGATATTCGATATTTACTAAGACAAGTAAAAATGTAACTCTATCATTAGAATTCACACAGCAAGTACTATGGAACGCTACAGGTCGGTAAGAAATAAGTGTAGAAATAAAATCCGGGAAGCTCAGGGAAAATATGGAATACAGTAAGCACAAACTGCAATCAAGCAGCCTATGAGACTAATCCTATACATAAATTACAGAACAAGGATGTAGCAATGGATTCCCAACCTAATTACGGGAGAGAGTGGACCTGAAATGATAGGTGGTCAAAAAAGCAGAGGCTATGGCAAAATATTTCGAGACAGTTTTTATTCAGGAGCTTCTTCTAGACCAAGAACTTGACCTAAGTAGCGTCAAAAAACCGTCTGCTCACCGTAGACTTCGATCAAGACGATGTAGTTAAGGCTCTTAGTACCTCAGACACGGAAACGTCAACAGGACCGAGTGAACTATATCCCAAAATCCCGAGACAGATTCAACAATATATTGCAGCCTCACTAACGGTGATATTTAGCATATCACTTGGCCAATGTGAGAAACCTACAGACTGGAAGGATGCAGTCAAGTAGAAAAGGCTAGAACGAATAAAATAGCCTTGGCATACAGGTTTCCACACCGAGTCATCAATTCTTGGAACCTGTTATCCGAAGCAGTGGTGTCCGCACCTCTAATTGACTCATTCAAGAGAAGACTGGACACTCACAAGAGCATACCAGAAAAAGAATGGCATAGGCTGTATGCATTCTGTCCTTACTGCACAAATATGAATCTGGATGTGATATTGTTCACCTTTCGAAGAAACTTTATGAAACCGCAAAATTAAAAAACTAACCGTGTAATAAGATAAAACCCCTAGGCTTATGTCAAGCACAAACCAACGGTATTGCCAACCATTGACGAGATTAGTCCATTTGCTTAAAGGGCCTTCCATCGTAAATGAGTTATCCATATTTTCCGCATTCAAAAACCTCGGCACCCAGTACGCATTCGTCCAGATAAACACCACATCCAAACCAGAGCATCAAGAGTATTACACTAAATTTCCACACAGTAAAATTCAGACCAATAGATTTTATTTGAAAAAGGTTTTGTGAAACAGTGTACACTGTTTGAAATACTTATGTGTTAAGTGTAAATCTATGGCAGTAAATTAATTCATAGTCTATCCATATTGCCTTTGAAATTCCGTCTACCATTCAGTGCTAGTTTGTCAATATTTGTGCACCGTAGAAGCATGTGGAGTACAGCGAGGAAACCAGATTGTGCAACAAATCGATATGCCATATTGTACCACAACCCTCTTCCCTCTTCAGTAACACCATTGTAAGTCGGCCGACCTGTGTAAATCTTCGCAGTGAAAATCACATAGGAGTTCATTTTGCTAGAATCTCTTGCCCCGTTGGGTTATAACACTAATGCAATTTAGATATTCTAGCAATTGAGCACTCACTGAAAAGTTCCGAATCACATCCTGATTTTCTATGATCGCGATATCCCCAATGATGATCGGTCACAAGCGGACTACACCGACACCCAACTTATCAGCCACGACACGAAATAGCGGTATGAGATTGAACCGCGTTCTGTGACTAACGGAAACACCCGTCCGTTTTAGTCACTTTGAATATGAGAGATTACTCAGGTCTGTCATCAACAATTTACTGTTTGGACGCACCAGATGATTTTATTATATGATATGAACCAAACAGCTTGGATGCACCATCCTACCTCAGATTTCACGCATTCCTACCAACTATGTGTTTTTACATCTTTGTATTGACAGCCGACTATTTGTTTAGTTTCAGCTATGGCCGTCTAAGGTTTAGCTAGCAACCCAATTATGTAAATGGGTTTATTACCCGCCAAAGCTTCAAAATATCTCTATTACTACTTCCGTTTCCAATTTAATGAAGTGTGTTCAGTTCTAGTATCATTGTCAATGACTAATAATTTGCGTCACTGTTCAGCTGCTCTACCTGGTTTGATTTACTTTAATGATAACAATTTCACTAACAAGGACATAGTATACTCTATGAACATTTAGACATCCAAGATAGGGACGTACAACAAGAATCTTCGTTCTCGGTGCCTCGACAAATATTAAGTTCGATTTTAAAAAACTAATATCTGAGGAGCAATTACGGTTTCCAGTAATTTTGTCTCTATTCAGGATTGTTTGCGATCTCCAACGTTGCGACGAATTGCATATTAAAACGGTGAAGTTACCACAACTCGTAATAAATACCAACTAACGTGATTATTGTGTCCTACCGGTTCAAACAGAAATGGATGTACCACACGTAAGCTTAAATCCATGCATGAGTAAGACTGCTTCAATCTCCTTACTATGGATGATAAACAATCTACCAACT